GGCCGCTGCTTCATTTGCGCGCTGCGCTCTTTTTGGCTAATCTTGTTGCTTTTGGGAGGTGTTTGATCGGTACCCCTTCCTTCTGGGAGGGCGTCTGGTTGTTGCGGTTTGACACGCGGGAATGGGGCTTTTTTGGCTGGATTTCACGATGCGACTTTGGGCTTTGCTCTGAGAGTTTGGGATCTGAGCGAGGACAACAACAACAAGAACAACAACAAGGAGTGAAAGTGAGTTTGATGAATGGGGGTGGTGGTGATGTGGTCATTGCAAGCCATAAAACAACAACCGCGGCTGCGACACGAGCAAAAAAAAACGGCAGCCAGCTGTTTGGTAGCTTTCGGTTGTTCCTTTGAGCAGTCGCACACACACACACACACAGTCGGCATGGTGAAATGCAACACAAAAGCGTCAAAGTACCCTTTGGCTGAAGAAGCGAGTCAAAAGTCAAAGTGCAAAAAGGAAGACTGGGCACTGCATTGGAGCGAGACTGCGGCTGAAATCGGCCTGTTCCCCCTTCCTGTGGCCACACAACATCCTACCGTCCCTGTTTTCGCCTTTGTGTTTTTTTCCCCACTTCTTCTTCTTGCTTTCAGTGTCTGCGCCGCGGCTGAAATGACGCTCGGCGTTTTTTTGCTTTGTTGCACTTTGGGGCAATCACGCACTTTTGGGCTACCAGGCAAGGCAGACTCGGATCCTCACGTGTAGCCGTCGAAGAAGTTCTTGGTTCTGGCTTGAAAGGGTTTGACGATCGAGTGTTTTTTAAAAAGAGAAGGGCTCTGATGCAACAACTTTCGTATCGTATTACCATGTTGCAAGGGAAAACAGTGTGCAGGCATAAGGGGGGGGGGAGAGGGAGTTGTGAAAAACTGAAAGGGAAAAAAGAAAAAGAGAAAGAAACATCAAAACGAAACGAAACGAAAACGCGTCGCCTTCCCGTTTGATTGCTGAAATAAATCAATGTCATGTTGATCAACAAAACACATCCAGACAATACCGCACCAACGCACAAAAACAAGCAACACAAAACAAGCACAACAGAAAAAAAAAATCATCAACGATCATTCAAAAATTCAATCCCTCTTGCTTCGACCGAAGCAAATCAAGGCGTTGGAGCATCGACGGCGGCTGAGCTCGTGCTTGCGGAATCAGCAGTGTGGTTTTCGACGGCCGACGCAGCCGATGCAACGGATGCATGCTGACCGTACCCTGGCTCAGAGGGGCGCGGTGGTTTTTGGGGTGTCGCGGGAAGAGAGCCGCTCAGACGCACCGCCGTGAGCTCATTCTGTGCTCGTACCAACTCGCTCTTGATGGACTCGCAATTGTCCTGGGCCTTGAGCGCGGCCTCTTGTGCCTCCTCCAGCGCAAGTTGCAATTTGAGCGGAGTGTCAGGGGCCTCGCCCACCTTTTTGATTTGTGCAACTGTTGGCAGCGGCTTTCGAGCACCGGTTGGGCTTGCATCTAAAAGTCGAGGAGGAAGGCAAAGTGGAGTGAGACGATTGGCACGGACGGAAAACGGGAACACAAATGGAAGGCATAAACAAAACCATCCCTTACCAACACGATCGATGAAATGCTTGCGGATGATGAAGGACTTGCGCATGACATCATCAACCATGGCGCCGTTGGCATCTTCGAGCATCTTGACCTGCAGAGGAGGGGGGTAGTAGCAGTCACAAAAGTTTTGTTGTGAGCGTCAGAGCACTTTCGATTGACGTGCACAACGACGAATAAGCGCCAAACCTTCTCGGCAAGCACGGTCTTTTCGCTTTGCAGCGCTTGCAATCGTCGGGTCATGTCCTGTGTGGCCTGGCTTGAGGCGGTGTCAAACTCGGAAGACAGGTCGCGCTTGGCACGACCCAATTCAACCGACACACGAGCAGAGCCAGAAGAGCCCTGATCAAAGCTACCATGGTGGGATCCCGAAGAAGAAGAAGGCGTGTCGTTGTGCTTCAGGTCGACTTCCATCTTGTCACTCTTCTTCTTTTCCAGAAGCAGCTGGCGCTTGAGATCTTTGAGCTGTGTACAGAACAAGCGAGAGAGTCAGGAAAAAAAAACAGAACGATGAACAACAATGTAAGCAACGTCCTCCTTGTCACAATACCGACTCACCATCACGGCGTTTCGCTTCTCCGCTGCAACAGTCTCGGCCTTGCGGTCCTCGATGGCCTTGTTGAGCTCTTCAATGGATGCCTTGCTCGTCTCGATCTCGGCTGTGAGGGCAGCGATGCGCTCGTCGCTGGCAGTTTGGGCTTGAGCGGCAGCCTGTGCAGCCGCTGCGGCATCGACCGTGGCTTGTGCCAAGCTGGCCTCATGAGTGGCAATGGTGTCGCGGGCGGTTTGAAGCTGGCCCTCGAGTGCCGCCTTGTTTGCGCTGGCGTCCTGAAGCGACTGCTCCAGAGCAGCCTTCTGTTCGGTGAGCTGCTGGATGGTGGTGTTGGCCGTCGCGAGCTCATCGTTGGCAGTCTTGAGCTTGGCCTCGAGATCGTTGGAAAGCCGATTGAACGCCGACTTTGCTTCGGCAATGGCCTTGATCTTTTCCATCTGGTTGGCCTCGGCCTCGGCGTTGTGCTTGGTCACGAGGTCGTCCTTTTGGCGAGACATGTCGTCGAGCAGCGCCTTGCGCTTGTCGGCGACCTTGGTGAGCTCGTCGAGCTGCCCCTTGACCTTGGCATTCTCTGTGCGCAGCGACTCGGTCTGCTTGCGCTCTTCGTCGAGTTGGCCGTCCAGCAGGGTGACCTTGGCCTGCAGCGACGTGACCTGCGAGGCGAGCGAGCCGACCTGCTGCGTGGCCTCGGCGCCGACCTTGACTTGGGTGCGTGAATCCGTGAGCTCTTGCGTGGCCTTTTCGAGCTCAAACTGGAGCGCGTCCATGTGCTTGGTGCTGTCGGACGATGACTGCGACAGCTGGAATTGCAGGTTGGTGATGGTTTCAGACAGCTTGGCGTCGCTTGCCTGCGCGGCCTTCTTGTAGTCGGTGAACTGCAGTTGCAGCTGCTCGTACTGACGCTTGTAATCGGGGCCAGTCTTGGTTTCGGTGCTCCGGGCAGCCAGTTGCTTTTGCACGGTCGCGAGCTGCTCGGTCGCAGCTGTCAGCTGGAGGGCCAGGTTGGCCTTCTCGCCAACGGCCGTTTCGAGCTGGATTTTGAGCTCGTCCTCGGCATGCCGATCGAGCAGCTTGGCTTCCAAGCCGCGGTGCGACGCCTCGGACGCGTCCAGCTTGGCCCTCAGCGCAGCGGTCGTTGCTGCCGATGCCGCAAGCTCGGCCTGAAGCCGCGCAACCAGCTGAGCGTTTGCTGATGTGGCTTCTGTGGCTTCTGCTGCGGCTGCTTCTGTTGATGGTGGTGACAGGAGAGACTGCTGATGTCGCTGCTCGAGAGCAGCGTGTTCGGCACGCAACGCCTCGAGATCGGCCTGCAGCTGTGCCTTCTCCTGCCCGTGCAGCTTTTGCGTGGCGTCGAGCTTCTCCTGCAGAATCGCCTTCTCGGCTTGGAGTTTGCTGGCGCGCTCGACGGCAGCCGAGGCCGCCTGCGTTGCCACAGTGGCAGTGTGCTGGCCAGGAGCATTTGTTGTCGCAGCCAGTAGTTGCTTGCGCGTTTCCTCGAGCTCGTGGTCGAGACGGCGGCGCGAAGCCTCGAGCTGCGTGAGATTGGACATCATTGCGTCGTGGTGCGTCTTCTGGTCTGCCTCGTTGGTGCGCAGCTGCTTGCGGAGTGCATCGTTCTCCTCCTGCAGATGCGTCACCTCCTTCTTGTTGCCGACCATGCCACCGCCGAGGTTGTTCATGAAGGATGTGACCTTGCTCTTTCCCGCGGGAGAGTTTTGCGCACCCGCCGCATTCTGTGCTCCCGCGGGCCCGTGCGCACTATGATCTTTCTTGAGCATGTCATTCTCTACAACAATAGAAGGTTTTGTGCAACACACACAGTGAGTGATGTGTGAAAAAGAGAGGAGCCGAGCGAAAATATGGTGCATGGTGAGCTCGGTGTGGCCTGGGGTCGCCGAGGACGCCCACCACGGAGGGTGCGCTTCCGATGGGGTGATGAGAGCACCATCGTCTCTGTTTTGCTGTTCGCAGCACCGGGGGGAGAGGGCAACGAGGCGACCCCAGGAAGAGAGAATAGAGAATCGTCCAAAGCGCATTGCGGTTTGCAGCTCCGCGCTGAGCGCTCTTGTTGCTCGCTGCTGCTCATGCAAGCTCAGTTTGAACCCCCCTCAAAACACCGTGCTTGTGTCGCTCCAGTTCTCCAAGCGGGCGCAGAAAGCGAGGCAGCGACCGCAGCAACCAATCCAATGTGCTCCACCATAAAAACCATCAAAACTGTGCGAAAATTCAAAAAAAAAAAAAAAGATTTGAAAAAAAAAAAGCGAGCTTCTCACCCAGTTTCAACCGCCGAGCAGCTTGCTCGGCATCGAACTTGGCGGCGGTGACTTCGATCAGTTGTGCCTGTGTGAATGAGATGAGAGAGAAGGACAAAGAATGAATCAGAAAAACGGCGATGAGCGACATCATCTCGCAATGAACGAACGAACGGTGGGAAACCCAAAAAAAAAAAAAAAAAAAAAAAAAAAAAAAAAAAAAAAGCAAAGCAAAAGCAAAGGGAAGGATTGATTTGTTCCACGAGGACGAAAGGTCTCAGGTCGAGGTGGTTGGGGAGGTGGGCAGTGGCGACTGCATCAGCGCGAAGGGCACTGCGTGGTGACGGGTGCTCAAAGCTGCGACGAGCCGTTCGGGGAGGGCAGGGTTTGCGTTGTGCGTGCTTTACCTGAAGAGCATTAAAGTCGGATTCGGTGAACGACATCTCAGCAACTCTGAAATGATAAAATAAAATAAAAGGTGGACTGGAGCTAAGAAAATTTTAGTGTTGGTTTGTGATCACGTCACGTTGTGCTAGAGAGACGGTTGGGGAAAGTTCAGGCATGGATCGAGTGGTGGAGCCTTCTGATGAGATTTTACCTCAGCTTCCGGCCTTGGCTTGTCTCCTCTGAATCAGTCGAGTTCAAACATTCCGAATGAAAAGCTCTTTCTTGACGAATTACACCCTCAACATGCAAGGGTAAGCACGCACGTGAAAGAGAACTGTCGCACTTTGGTTTTTGACTGAGAACAAGCACTCAATCGAACAGTTCGAATCGTGTATCAAGGAACAGAAAACCGCTGAGCAACTGTGTATAATGCGACGACAACAGCCAAACTATTTGTGATTTGGCCACGGTTTGCTGATGAATTCATCAATGCCGCCGGCCTTCTCGACTTGCTGTTGGGCATCCGACCCATTATAGCTCAAGACAGTTGGGTTAAGTCGTTGTCTGTGCGGAGGGCACACAAAGATAGCACAAAGACGAGTGAGTTACAGGAAGCACGAAAGGAAATCCACGGAAAAGCTCCAAAGCGTGCTTACTGTCGCCTTGCAAGCGTCTTGGGATTCAATACGGGCGCTGGTGATGCAGCGAGAGAGTGAACAGGCGAAGCATTGGCCGCCGGCGTCGGAACAGTCACCCTGAAGCCAAAGAAACAACAGAGATTCAAGTGAATACACGAGCGCAAAGCGAAGCGTTCGAACAACAATCAGCAAAGGTGTTGCGCACTGGAGCATATCTCGCGATTTTGGCGTTGACTTGGCCGCTGGCTTACGGATGGGCTCTGTGAAGGAATGACCCAAAGCAAAACACACAAAAAACCAGCATGAGCGACAACGAGGTGGAGAAAACCACACCACAATCAAAGCATCATGCCTACTTTTTTTGTCGCTGGATGGAAGCGCCAGCTTTAGTTTTCGCGAGCCCGCGGCTTCGTCATCGGATGAACTCTCAGAATCGGAAGAACCAGACTGTAGCGACTCGACGGCCGGCGAATCCTCGTCGTCCTCGTCGTCGCTCAATTGAGAGCTCCGCGGTTTGGTGCGTGAAACTTGCATCGCCGACAACTTGTGATGGCTGAGTTCACTGAGTACACTGTCGCCTACGTACAACGAGGGGGACGGGGGAACGACCAAACCGGAGACGGCAGAGGTCTTGCTGGCTGGCGCGACGTGGTTCTTTTGAAGTTCGAGCAGAACGTCGCTCCGGTAGACGGGAAAGTGGCCCGCGTTGAGTCTTGCCGTCACAGTGTGCTCGTCATCGTCGTGCTCAGACTCCGAGTCGGAGGGTTCGGGACGTACTTGAAACTGGGTCGAAATCTTTGTGGTGGCCAGTTTCTTGTCGTCGTTGGCAGTTTTTGATGATGACGACGACGGCAATGCAACTTGAGCCTTGTGAGCATGATGCTGCTGGCTCGGAAGCTTAGGCATCGACAAAGACATTGGTTCGGTGGCTCCCTTGTGTAGTGGCAACGCGGATACTTTTGGGGCAGCGATAGCGGAGCGGTTGGCACGCGAAGCGGGCTGCGGTGTTTTGAAATCTTCCTCGCCATTCGTTTCGCTCGAGTTTGAAAGTCGAGCAAACCTTGCGCTCGTAGACGATTGTTGGGCCCGAGCTGGCGGCTCGTCTTCCTCCGACTCGCTGTCCGCATCGGACGACGCTTCATCATCGCTGTCGCTGTCGTTCGCACTGTGCTGCTCAAGCTGTGGCTTGGTCATCGTCGTCTTTGTAGGTTTCGGGGCGCGCGCCTCCTCCAGCATTGTGGTCACGAGAGCAAGCAACTGCGACTTGTCGTTTTTGCTCTCCTTCCTCAGCTTGATGAGCGCTGTGACAAGACCATTAGCCTTCATATTGGGGTGCTTGGCAATGAGTTCTGTGACGAGGACAGAGGCCGCAGTGTGTGAAACAAAACATGGCGTGAGAACCAACCATTCGCTTGTAACTCACAACAGCAGCCAACGACCCCGATTCAGACAATCAACTCCTCTGTACCTTGGATATTCGCCTCGTAAGCTTGTCGCAAAGCATGCAATGGTTGGGACTGCAAGAGATTGGTCTGGCCGTTGTTTCGGACGGGAGCAACGGGTGACTGTGAAGAGTGATCGCCACGACCGCTGCTGTTGGATGTGACAGAAGTGGTCGAGTCGAGGCGAGCGCGCTTGCCCTGCTTGACGGGTGCGGGCTCGGACACTGGGTGGTTGCTGCTGGTGTTGGTGGGTGCTGCTGGAGGGTGGTCGTCGGCCCGTGCGCGCTTGGATGGTTTGATGGAAGATGGCAGACTTGAGACATCCACGGTTTTGTCCCGATCGTTGGCCGTAGACATGGCTGTCGGATTATTCCGTGTGTGTTTTGCCTTGTTGGGCTTGCTCACGTCCATCGCGACACTGTCGTCATCCGATGAAGGTTCTGGTGGGCGATCCGTGCTGACAAACGCAAGGGCCTGTTCGGCGCTAGGCGGAAAGTCACCAGCAACGTCCGTCCCTGCAGAAGCGGCGAGAACATTGACCGTCCCTTGCCAATCCTCCGCCGCCAACAGTCTGCTCGTCACGTCCTTTCCAAACGTGGCTATAAGGTCGTCTTTGGTAGAAATGTGGCTGACCGGCACGTGTGTTGTTGGCGCATCAAGAGACAGCGGTAGCGACAGGGGCAGAGCGCTGACTTCGGACGCACGCGCTGGGAGTGGAATGACGCTCCATAGCACGTTGTCTTGCACGACAAGGTCTGCGACAATGCAGTTGTTTTCAAGATCGCATCCGTCGCTATCTCGCAAGCTGGCAATCATTTCGGGGCTGACGTGCAGACTGCGGGCAACGTTCGTTCAATCAAACCATTCCAACCATTCACAGACATCATTATGAGCATCATCTTCATGAGCATCATCAAGGGTTTTGACAGCAAACATGTGCAATGCTGGATGACACGAATGGCAGTAAGCACTTACTTTGGATAAACGCTATTGTGACTTGTCACAATGCACTCCTTGACTTGAGCCACAGTCCAATCGGACATGACAACAACCTGTATTTGTCGACACACACACACACAACACAATTCAGAGATGGATACTGAGCAGCCGCCGAAACACGATTCATGTGTGCAACCTGGGAACGAGCAAGAGGACATGCTGCTCGCTTTGCGGCGGGCCCCTATTCGCAGTCCCGCCCGTTGTCCCAGTACCAAAATCACCAAGCACATCTCATGGACAATGTGCAAGACAGTGGTAGCGATGCATCGAGGCGTGCGTGGCGATCCCGAGCCTGGGGGACGTGCAATCGAGTCCATGTGCTCTCCTTTATTTCATCCCTCGGAGCCCTCCTCCTCCCATGCCCCAAAGGAGCAGAGCCTCGTAGAACAACGATGGTCGGCTACCTGCCACTGCGTGTGGAGGACCAAACAAAAGCAGCGACGGACTTACGCGAAACTTGCGGTCGTCCCACAGCACTTGCAATCGTTTCTTTGTCATTCGACTTTTTTGTGAGGTGGTGGAACAACGACTGCAGCCAACCTGACAAGGCAGAGATTGGAAGCAATCTATCGAACGAGTAGATTGGCGTTTTGACCGACCACAGTAGGAGCTGCAGGTCATGTTTGTCGGTTGATCATCACTTTGACCAATTCAGATGCACAGCCATCCGTCCCTCCCTGCCTCCACCGACCTTCCTCTGATTCCTCCGCATTTTCTTTTGCGCCTCAATGATTTAGTTCAGAGTTCTTACCATAGATGTCCATTTGTTCGCTCTTCTTTCTCCAGTCTTTTTTTTTTTTTTTTTTTCGTTTTCCAAGCAGGTCAGTAGTCTCGCTG